AGTGGCGTTGTAGCATGTACCGGATGGGTCGTTGCAGAACGGAGCTGGGTGATCGGCGTACTGCATTCCGCCTCCTCCTGCAACGAACTGGAAGGTACCCGTCTTTTGAATGGACACATCCGTGGTTACGCCAGCACGTCTAGAAAATATGTGAGTTAAGGGCGGTTGGAAGGCCATTGGAAGGTAGGGTTTCAGTCATACTGCCAGTATTCAACCTCCCATCGAAGCAAGACATAGCCGGTTCCCCGAAGTGTTACGTAGTCCGTGTTGTGGAACAGTAGATATGTACCAGCTTGGAGTAGATTATCAGTAAGGAAGAAACACCATAAATTGAGTAGACGGTGGCCACTAACTTAAATAGCCTGGCTGCCAGGCGACCCACGTGCCGGCAATATCCGTCACGCCGGTCTCTGCGCGGTGAGTCAATTTCGAAGCCCGGGTCTCAAGTCGAGTCTCAGGGGTTGGGCTTGACAAGGCGGCCGTGACAAGCGAGAGCGCTGCGAGGTAAACGGCCTTGAATTGGCTGAGTTTCATGATGGCGGTTTAAGTTGCAAACAATGCTGGTCTTGGGATCTGGAGAAGAGAGATGCTGTGCGATCTTGAAAGACAATTACTGAAACTCCGGAGAGAGAAGAGCACTTCTATTATAGCTAACTTGAGGAAGTGTTTTAGTCCATATCTCCCTCGACACATGTAAAAAATCCCATCTCGTCTACTCAATACTTACACCAATTGTGTTGCATCGCTGAAGGTCCCTTTACGTATCCAACAACTGATCCCCGGGCGAAGCCCCGACGAACTCCGTAGAGGTGGCGAGCGGTTCGCTCAAGGATCTTGAATGAAAACAGAACGTCAAGAATGGAAATGATTTGTTTCCAAGGACAACTGCCATAAGGCCAGCGCATGTGTGTGGGATCAACTGACCTCGTCTATAGATACCCGCTCCAATTAGACACAGAGACAACTACCGGGTCTCATCCAGAACTCAACCCCAAGGACTGGTAATCCTTGGGACCGCTATCCTCGCGGTAATGGAGGAACTGAACCAGAAAAGTGCTGAGAGAAATTGAAGTGCCACCGCATATGTTTCACTTATACAGGTCGTCAGGATGCTCGTTCCCTACCTCCTATTCAGTGGAGTTATTACGCCAGGGATTAACATATACTTGATTCGGCTGGCAGGTACCATTCCATATAAGTTAACAGGAGAGATACTTAACCAGTAGTATACCATCGTCTCCTGGCGGTCACTAGTCGCTTACTTGCAGTTCTCATTAGGTATCTTGTTATAATTCATTAGTACGATAGCCGTTAGTTATGTTAATGCCTGAGGTTGTCGCCCCACTGAATAGGGAACGAAACTGCGGGAATCCTGATGACCTGCAGTATTGTGATGCCACGGTCGAGAATCCTAACCCTGATCACACTAGTGTCATCTATATAGCATTCTTCCGGGACTTACCCCGGATTCCGGGAAGTCGAGAGACCCCAGTCATTCCTAGAGATTTCGCGGGGGAAGAATGCGGGGATAATCAAGGAATCCCCGGTATTGTATGCATAGTACCTGGGTACCAGGTACCCAAGTAGGTAGGCACGACCCAAGTAGGTAGGCCCGACGAGCCTTATAGAGCAACATGCCACGGCCCCACATGTCTCCGGAAGTGGTCCACAGCCCAGCGTAACGCCCGACTTTCTGACCCCATAGTCTCCGGACCAATTCTCGGAGCGTTCAAGTTGGCGCTAATCATACTATGGACATGCGTAAATAGATAGGAATATGCAAGAAACAAGGGAAACATATAAAATATTACCGTTAAAGGCAGCCTCTGCTTCCTTCTCTTGGTGATCTACGTTCAAGTAATCTTCTGATTAGTGTTTCATCATGCTTCTCTCAAGGGGGCTTTCTATCCTGGTAGTTCTGCTCAATTGGTGCGGATGTCAGGCACAGAACGCTGATGTCACTTCAAAGCCAACAGGTATTTCGAAGCTGGTCACGTATCCCGTTCCTTCAGGCTTACCTACCGAGAGCACCTTCGACGTCCGCGTTCGGTCCCCCGGGCGTTTATGGCAAACCCTTGGGACCTACCAGGTTACTGTTGAGGAGGTCAACACCACGAAGGGGAATAGTCAAACTTATGGCTCGTCTATGACTTACTTTGACTTCTCCGGCTCAGTCGAGATTTCTGTTCGATATTTGCTAGGTCCTGTCAGCAGCGTTGAAATACGGCCATATTCGTACGGCATTGTTCCTTCCGCCGTGGGAAACAACGTGTACGAATTTACCCTATCGAAGCCTATGAACGTCGTCTTCCAGGTCAACGGAGACATCTTCCATGTCCTAAACATTTTTAGCAACCCAATCGAGAAAGGTCCTCCGAACTCCGACGACCCGAATGTCATCTATTTTGGCCCCGGCATGCACAACGTAACAGGAGGCGTGCTATATGTCAACTCTAGTCAAACACTCTACCTTGCCGGAGGCGCGACGCTGGCATCATCTATCGTCTTCCAGAACGCCACCAACGCAGCAATCCGAGGGCGAGGTATACTGTATAAGCCATCAAGCAACGCTATCACTGTCGCGTATGGCAGCAACGTTACTATCGAAGGCATCACTGTGGTCAACACCAAATACACCAGTCTTCTGATAGGACAGAGCACCGGAATTACGATAAGTAATGTGCGCGCCTTCTCTGCGACTAGCTACGGCGATGGCATTGACCTGTATTCGACTACGAACACGGTCATAGAGAAGGTTTTTATGCGCACGAGCGATGACTGTATCGCCATCTACAATCACCGCAACGACTGGTACGGTAACTCGACTAACATTACCATAAAAGACTCATCCCTGTGGGCTGACGTTGCGCACCCCATCAATCTGGCCACGCACGGTAATGCTGACGACCCGGAGACACTGTCCGATCTTACCATCAGCAACATCGATATTCTAGACCACCGTGAGCCGCAGATGCTATATCAGGGATGCATCGCCATCAACCCAGGCGACGAAAACACTGTCAGGGACGTGTTGATAGAGGATATCAGAGTGGAGGATTTCCGCGCCGGGCAGCTGGTCAACATGCGCATCATGTACAATCCCAAATGGAACGCTGCTCCCGGAAAACTGATATCGAATATAACGATTAGGAACCTGAACTACAATGGGAATCACTCGACCCCTTCCATTCTTACGGGGTACGATGAGACGAGACGGATTGAGTTCATCACTTTCCAGAACTTGACAGTCAACGGGCAACATATTTACGACGCAATGCAGAAGCCGTCGTGGTATCTTACGAGCGATTTCGTGCCCATGTTCGCGAACGAGCATGTCACGAACTTGACTTTCCTAGCTTAAGAGCCAGCATTTATCTGATGAAGATGGATAGGCGTGCATACGAGTCAAAGAAACAAGCATTCATGCCTGCGACCTAAAACCCCGTGAAGGCTACATCCCTGGGAACGTAGACCGGCGAGCCCGAGAATGAATAAAAGTATGATTTATATGATTAACATGACTTATTACTTCTTAGATAATATTGACTCGCTACTATACTGCCCTAGAATGGAACTCTTTGTAATAATACTGATATCCTGACCGGGTATACTGTTCCCGGAGACAGGCTTTCGGGCCGGCCCTGACTCGGCAAGACGAATTATAACTCTATCTTTACTGTAGTAAAATAAGCATTTGCCGAGATGGATACTTTTATGCATACAGGAACTGCCGACGCTGTTTCCCTCTTCCGCCATGCAAACGTCTCGTTGAGGCCTCGTAGATACCGCGGTACCCCTGAGCACGTGTTGGTTTATGGGAGGCAATTATTACCGGCCCCATGTGCCAAGCCTACATTAGACGGTTCTGTTGACGTGTGCCAATGCTCGCCGTCTATACCATCTATTATCTGGATCCGACGGTATGACTCTACGTCGAATCCGTCAAACGTCCGCTTGAACGCCATCTCCGCCTTTTCTAGGGGTACGTCCTCTAGTGGCTACTAGCTCCTGGCACATATAGCTCGATTCGGCATCAGCCGTGGTTTAAATATTTGCTTGGATTACGTAGTTCGGCTTTCATGACTCGCTCCACGGGGAACCATTGTTTATCTCAGGGCCGAGAGTAAAAAGGGGCAAAGTCGGTTTTTTAGCGTAGGCACAAAACAAGAATATACGTCATAGCTCTTCCCATTTTACTATTCTGGAATAATTTAGAACCGCAGTCGTCTTTAACTCTAACCTATCTTGATTACCGATACCTAGGGGTATAGAAGACCACTCCATCACATGACCCCGAACCCCCATGCTCCCTACTTCACACGACGAATCAATTAACAATTTATTAGGAGATATGCTGTGCTCATCCTAGTAAATCTATCCATAAATTGCAATGGGACTATTTGTATAGCAGCGTTCCTAGCACTATACCTACACTTTGCCGTACGAATCGCAGGTCAACGACATCCCTAGAACGTTGGTTAGAACCCTTTTTGAGTAATCTGTAGAGTTATGCATATTGTAACCATCTACCTAGGTATTTATTAGGTAAATACCCTACTTCAATCGTTTACGAATGGTTGCTCATAAGACAGGTACTTATCTGCCTTGGTTTGAATAACGCTATCTACCGATAATAACCACAAAGCGACATAGGTGTTTCACGAATATACTTGAAAAGAACACCTGTGTTGGAAAATAGAAAGTGCACACGTGGAATTGCATTGCTTTGGCAATGCTAATGTCTTCCAGACCTGAAGATCTGGGTTTAAGATAATCCCATCAAGTCGAAGGCATCTGGCTACCGCCGCGAAACAAACATATACCCGACAATGTTTATCAGGAATCCTTACAACTGATCCTTCCACATACGACCATAGGATCTGGAAAACTCGGGATCCCGTCCGCTCTCCCTTCAGATAAGCCAGATACCGCCGGGTCAGTAGTTGGGTCGGTGACGACCAGCGAATCCCCGGTGTTGTATGTTCTCTTATACTCGACAAGGTCTGCTGGTCTAGTGGTAGGATTCTCGCTTTGGGTTGTCGGAAACAGTCTCAAGATTGCGAGAGGTCCCGGGTTCAATCCCCGGGCAGACCCTCTTTTTTGGACGTTGCAACGTTAAGTCACAAGAAAAGGGACATCCATACGGATAGGGGTTGCTAGATAAGTCCAAATATGATACCCGGCATGTCATGCCTATAATGCACACGGGGAGGCTCTGTATACCTATGGCATGTATGTATTGATGTCCGGCAGTTAAATGCTACTGTTGCTGCCACTGCCCCTATTTCTAAAGTTCCTACCTTGCAGCTATGTTCTTCTTTTTGTTGGCTTACGCAATATTCCAATGTGAGCGGATGGAAGGAGGCGCGTCGGTACCTGCAAGAGATGATGTTAGTAATTATTGTTCTAACTTATCAGCTTAGGCGTGATTAAAGTCTGCTGTAGAGGGTAACAGCACGCCTTTAGATACTATAAATTTATTACTTATAGAATGTAGCATTTAGACAATACCTTATTTTTTGATATTACATACAATAACTCGAAAGGGGTCGTCCTTTGAGATTATATTCCGTAAGAAAGCTTACCGCGAATTATTAACAGTCATATCAAACAATGACTACAAACTCCGTGGTATATGAATGTGAATATAAGCTCTTAATCGAATGATAAGCGGACGATATCAACATTGTCGTGAAGTAATCATATCAATCTTTAGCCGTATAGTATGGAATCCACCAACATGGTGCATCTTTGACCAAATCGCGTTAACCTGGTCACACGCTTATAAATCAAAAACTACCCCTAGGAAGTCAATGGGAGCATGGCTACACATCTTCTATACGATGTCGGGATTGAAATGAGGAGTCTTACTGGCCGGCACCGGCCTGGAGGTATTGCGTGATTCTCTAGCAACTGTCGCCATTGGGGTTGCTATACCGGAACATCCGTATAAAGCATCACAACAATGTTTCCTCAAGCCGACTATAATTCAAGAAAACTCTAATATCCGGACGTAACTATCAAAATGCCTACAGAATTTATCAGCTTGACGTTCCCCAACGCTTCAACGGAGCTGAACCCGCTCCCAAACCCGGCCATCGACCCGGATTACCTGACTCGATATGCCCGGAATCTTGATGACTATGAGTATAACTACACTCTCGTGCCATACGACTCATCATACTTTGACCCCTTCACTACTGGTGCCACTATCGCCGCAGTGACCAAGAATCTCAAGATCATCATTGCCCTTCGCCCCAATACGTTGTATCCCACCGTAGCGGCCAAGGCGCTAGCCACTCTTGATCAGCTAAGCCGGGGCCGTGCCGTCGTGCACTTCATCGCGGGTGGCAGCGATGTCGAGCAGGCAAGGGAGGGCGACTTTCTAAACAAGGAAGAGCGCTACGCCCGGCTCGAGGAGTATATCAAGATCCTCAAGAGAGCCTGGCAGTCGGCGGACCCGTTCGACTGGGACGGCAAGTACTACCAGTTCAAGCAGTTCAGCAACCGCGTGCGCCCGGTGAACGGCACCAGCATCCCGATCTCGGTGGGCGGGTCGTCGGATGAGGCGTACCGCATCGGCGGCAGCCTGGCCGACATCTTCGGGCTGTGGGGCGAGCCGCTCAAGGAGACCAAGCAGCAAATCGACCGCATCTACGCCGAGGCCGATAAGGCGGGGAGGGCTGCCGGCGACCGCCCCCGCATCTGGGTCACGTTCCGGCCCATTGTCGCCGAGACAGAGGAGCTCGCGTGGGCTAAGGCTCACCGCACGCTCGACGCGCTCAAGGGCAACCGCGCCGAGGGCAAGGGCCGCGTGCCGGCCGGGGCGCCGCCGCCCCAGAATGTGGGCTCGCAGCGCCTCCTGGAGATCGCGAAGCGCGGCGAGGTGCAGGACCGCGCACTGTGGTATCCGACCGTGACGGCTACAAATGCACGCGGGGCGTCGACCGCGCTGGTGGGCTCGTTCCAGACAATTGTCGATTCGCTTCTCGACTACGTCGACCTGGGGGCTGAGTTGATATCGATTCGTGGATACGATAACCTCAACGACGCCATCGATTACGGCCGGTACGTGATTCCTAAGGTGCGCGAAGCGCTGAAGGAACGAGAAAGCCGCACCAACGGTGCCCATTAGTGGTAGGTGGCAGTCAACGGTCGGGCTTTTGGGGAATAGCTTTAATTACATGAATCAAGCAAGGAAATAGGGGCTGAGGTTTCCACGTGTTCTTATGTGGCAAATGAAGAGCCCATATAAGATTATTGAAGGAACCTTTGATATCTGAGACTGTAAGGAATTAATGAAATATCTGACCGGAAAAGTCTTTCCAATTAGATGATTTTCCCTTTTGGAGACCACCGTTCACCGAGACCTTATGAGTTTCACTTTGGATCTCGGCTATCCCCCCAGCTTCCGTGATATCGAGCTGAAATGAGAACGTATGGGGTATTCCCTGAGAAATTCCTAGAATGACATGTGTAGGAGTGTTTCCGCACCTAGGCGTAATGGCGGCAGGGATAGAGAAGGTTGTTATATTTTCGTTGCGCGAGAACATTCGTTTTTGTAGTGCAATGTGTGCTTACAGAGCATTAGACTATCTCTATAGATCAAAGCTGATGAGCTGGGACGGAGGCGATATATAAACAAGCAGTTCAAGGCAAAGAAAAAGCGTTAGGACCAGAACATATATCAACGCTCGACACAACCGCCAACCTAGGCTATCTTTACGACGATCAAGGCCGACTTGCTGAGGCGGAGGCAATATATGAGCGGGTACTTCAAGGCTACGAGAAGGCCTTAGGGGTCGAAATGGTGAATGTTTATTGTTCAGCGATACGTACTTTTGAACGTCTCGGAGACCTTTTTTATCGGCTAAAAGATAAGGAAAAGTCACGGATGTATCCCCTTCGTGCAAGAGGTGGGTATCAGGCTACCTTGGGTTTGTCGAGTGACAGATATTCACGAGTCGACTATAAGCTTCGACGTTTGGAACGTGAGATGTCTTGGCAGGAATCAGTTGTTGAATGGTTTCCTTTTCTTTAGTTTAACTAGTATAATATGCGCCCAGGCAAGCACATTATACCACTGAGCTTTTTGCGAGGTACTTTAACCAAATCCCCTTAGAGTCCTTCAAACACCATTAGCAATGCCTTAGTCAAAATTACCTACCTGGTACCTAGGTAGGTAGGTAAGTACCTAATCCATCTTGGCCCTACCTAATTAACAATATTGGTTGACTGGCGAATCCAGTGGATTGACTAACAGCTCTGATTGTTGTGTTGGGAGAGGGTCTATTACGCTCCTGACTCTCAGTGATATCGGATATTACAGGTACGACAACCCCGAAATTTGTTTCGTTATCCCATTATAGTCTCGTCCCGCTGCCAGCTGCCTAGTGACTCATAAAGTCAAGAGAAAAAGGGTGATACAGGTAAAGAAACTCGAAAATATAATCATTCAATTGGATGATGTTCAAGTTCCATCAAGTGACTCTCCATTGTTGGAAATTGCCGGGTCTTCTTAACCTCGGTGTAGGATTCGTTCACTTCTACGCTCCTATTTTTTATTTTAAATCTTTAATAGAGTAACGTACTTGCTGTTATTTCTGTGACTTCCTAGTCGCCTAGGTACCTAGGCAATGTGTTTGGGGCGTAAAATAAAATGTTAGTCGAAAAGGTCGCGCGTAAGTTGCCTCTATATCGCGTGTACTACTTCGCCTCCCTACCTGACCGTACCTTTGTAGACCTGTTTCCTTTTCGGCTAGAGTATAGCTATCCCATAGGTATTAAGTTGGTTCAACATCGTTCATCTCTAGCGTCACTTACTCACGTACCTTTAATGGCCACGAAAAGAAATATGACATGCACAGGGGTTAAGCCAACGCTCTGGCTGGCAAGCCTCGACATTAACGTACACTAAGTGGTAATGAACAGTTTTCGTTATCCGGGCCTTCATTTGCTGAACTTCTTATGTGATGTACGATGGAATGTAAAAACCGTCTGACTGTGACCTGAAGCTGCTCTTGTGAGTTAAATGAGCAGAAAAGTACATAAAAAGTAGCTATTCCTTCAAAATCTACCACTGACCATTTTCTGAACAACCAGTCTCTCCTATTCAGAAGTCACCACTCTATCGATCATCTATCACCAACCCCATCGGCGCCTTCAGCTTTCTATTTACTCTCGAATTAGAACAACATAACAACTACACGTTATCCATAAATCTTGCCAAGTAAGCACCACCGCGGCGCTCTACAGCATTTCTCAACCCAAAGAACCGAGAAAGGGAGAGCGCGACAGAGAATCCCTAGGAATATAAGCAGTAGAAACAGCAGGTGGGGTTTCAAGATACCTACTTAGGTGGCATCAACACGCTGACAGCTTCTAGTGAAGATGCCGTACATGTATGGTCCATGCAAAACCTGCTCGGGCAAGGGCAAAGTCAACGTCAAATGTGGTGAATGCTTCGGGGAAGGCCATTTATCCGATCCTTGCTTCGACTGCATCGGCGAGGGCTGCGATAAGTGCCCTGGCGATGGTTATATACCTCGGGACTGTAACGCTTGCGATGGAATCGGAAAGGTGGACGAATTCTGTTATGTTTGCATTGGTAGAGGATATGAAAAGGAGTAATTATTGTTGTTCTTTCGCTTTAGAGAACACCTAAATTGACTACCTATATAAGTGTCTAAAATGACTGTGTGCTACTTGTATAATTCTGAGAACACCTAGGTAGTATAGGTATAGATGTGGATATATGATTTACAATACAACGCTCCATACCTACCTGAGTTAATGTACCTCCATTCCTTTAACTTTATTCTAACCTTGTAGCTATTGAGGCTATCTCATGAAGGGCTGCGAGACTCCACTAGGAGGTACGCTTGTAAAGTTTTAAGCGACTTTCTTTTGTTACAGCATTCCAGGAATCGACGAATCTTTCTACCAGCCGATCGCCATATTTCTCTCGTCCAATATCTCCAAGTAGGCTGCTTAGATCCATGCTTGGTTGCCAGTCCTGGACATCCCATAATAGTCTTCTTTGATGGGCGTCTTCGAAAAAGGCTGGATGCATGAGCTCTCTGCTCATACGGCAA